CGTACTGCGCGTGTGCCGAGCCCAAAATCACATGAGCCCGATTTAACGCAGTAGGCGTAAATTCTCCCACGCAAGGGCGACATCACACTGGTAAGAGGCAACTACTACCTTTCCCGGGTTTCGAGGACAACCGAATTAACTCATTAGACAGAAAAGTAAGTCGCGTTGGAGTGACTGTAAATAAGCTTGAGCTTTACTTTTACCCACCTTTTCTGTCCTCTATCAGTGCCCAGTTGGTCTGGGGCGAAAAGAAATGCGTGTATTCTTAGCGTAAGCAGCTGTCAATCCGTTTTTCAAGGATATCCTTCCGCGTGCCGTCGAGGAGAGGCAAACTATGGCGAAGCCGAGCACGAGGAGATAAAGTTCATGCGTTCCCGGTAAAATTATGAGGCAAACGTCGTAGTTGTAAAGGTTGTCAAATGACGAGGCAATTCAGACCTCGCTGTCGGTGTCCCATATGTTCTTTCATGGAGTGGTCGACTGGAGGCTTGTGTATCAGACTCAATGGCTCCTCTACGGCTCTCTCGCGTATGTGGGATCCAAGTTGTCCACCCCCTTTGTGCAAAAACCATGTGTGCCGCCCGGAGGACCAGGTCGTGTGTATGGTACGTGCAGACGGCCTATTTAGCCTTGTTAGTCACTGCGCCCGATCCAACCTCAGGTCTTCTTGACTCTGTTTTGGCACCGATCCCGGGGAGGGGAAAGTGCGGAAGATGCAGCGAAAGTCCACAATCACTGTAAACTGATTCACACGCAAGCCACCATCCTGGCGCCAAATATGGTGTGGGGTACACCATGTACATCGTCCGAAACGACGATCAAATTATTATTATAGGACAAACAGATGTCCTGTCACCATTGTTGAATCCAGAAACGTAAAGAGCGCAACTGTTAAGTGATGCATCTCGTAATCCCATCTTTACCTCTGTGTGGTGGAAAAGCAGCCTTGCTCTGAAAGCGAAGCCTGCATAAGTCAAAGGAGGTGTGTCTCCGACTTCTGAGGCCACCCGCGATTCTACCGAATGCCAGCTGAAAGTCGGTTATCGGTTGCTGCAAGTGTGAATGACGTAGGCGACCAAAGTGGGGTCAGATGGGAGTTATGTGAACCTACCTGAAGTAAACAAACCCCAACCACCTGTAATACGGAGCCGATGTTAATAGGGGTTTTACAGGTGGAGCCGGGGAACGCACAGGCGATGAGGTCAAGCAGTTGTATGCAAAAGAAAAGCTATTGGGAATGTGCGGTTGTACTTTGACTGGTTGAAAAATAGCTGCTTTACCCCCTACCCCAACCCCAACAGTATTGTGCCCGTCAGGTAAGGCCACATAACTACATCTGGCATAGGGAGGACAGCACGCAATAGTCGTACACCACGCTGACAGATCAATTTCCAACTCAGCTAAATCCTTTCAAAATCTTGCTTTCGCTTACAATGCAGCATGATAAAAACCCAAAATATCACGCTTTTTCAGGGAATGATGAGACTCAGGTAAACGGTAGTAAATCGGCTTGCCTCTTGCCTATCACGTTCTGCAATAAAATAGTCGAAAATGCCTCCAAAAGTTCACCAAACTGCATGAAATAGGCGGTAATTTGCCTATACTCTCTTCCCCACTTTCGATGGACTAGTGTGCATTTTCGAGACATTTAACTACGACAACTCTGTCTCAACGCTGGCGCTGAATGGGTCTAAATCACCTGGGCCGCATGACATACCGCGCAAATTGTTGAGGGATTTCGCTGGAGGACTATCTAAACCGCTGTCCATGCTCTTTCAAGCCTTGTTCGAAGCAGACTCCATTTTCAAATCTTTGATATAGTTCGCTTCCTTGTAACAAACACGGAGTTCAAATGTTCAACACCCACGTTTCCCACAAATAAAATAAACTGAACTAACCATCACCTCCCCCTCCTGACTCAGGATAACAATAATAATACTAACGATAATTTTTTAATTCCCAACTTCCTTCCAACAGGGCATGGGACCTTTTTTCCCAAAGCCAAGATGGATCGATCGAAGGAGTCAATAGGAATATGTGTGGATGACGACGAAATTTATATGCACGTCTTCAAAGGCTTCGCCAGAGGGCTTGTTTTAATTGTCCTACTATCCCTGTCCCCCGTTTTTCAAAAAGAATATATGTATGGCTAGGCATAGCCATCGTATTCTCTCTTCTGCTGCCGGTCTATCTCATTCATACCTGGTCCATAAATCTGGCAGCTTTTTAAAATGAGTCGTTATTGCCCCGTCCTCCATCCCTCTGAGGACACTTGCCTGTTTTAAGGCCAAAAAATCATTACTTGGCAGACTGAGGCTGAATTTTATTCGTTTATGCGTGTTAATTAGTGCAGCCATTTACTGACTATGCTCAGAGGTTCTTAAGGGGAAATCAAGTTCTCGTCTTAACTTCTCGGCTAAATAACAATAACGTACTCAAGCCTTACTTACTTTTGCCGCGCATCTGGCTTGGATTCAATCGCTTTTTAACCCTGGGGATACATGAAGACACAGGTTACGTTAGTGACAGAAGAATTGCGGGACGCAGTAAAACTAGGACATTTGCCGTTTCACAAGCTTCTGCTAGAGGATCACTTGAGGCAGCTTCTTAAAACCACCTCTAGTAGCAATGCTTACTCATATATGGGCACCAAGAAAGGATGAGGGAAAGCCGAAATTAGCTTCGGCGAGAACATTACCTAACTAAAATCAGCAGGACATGATTCTGAAAGTTGCCTGACATCAGATCTCGCCACAGTATTTTTGACTGTAACCATAGTGGAGTTGTCCCCTCTGTCTGAAAGAAACATCACGGATTTTAATAATTGCTCTCCCCCTCTCCCCGGCGCTTTGGCACGGGCTTTAGCGACGACGATAGGGGAAGTCAATCAACTTTTGAAGTCAGACCAACCAGAAACAGGAAACGTAGACAGTTGGAGGATGTTTGCTGTGAGGCAGCGTCGAACCGCCCGAGTTTGCGGGTGGTGCATCTCCCGCTCTGAGCAATTGAAGCTGTGCCTTAGAGCATGCGAATCACTCACTCGTTCCTTCTCCACGGGCCACGAGACGATTCCCCCCCCCCCCCTAGCCTGAGCGACTGTCCCATTTAGATTTGAAGGTAAGCCAACGATGTGCAGGAGAGAAAAGATTTTTTTTAAATAGTGGGACAGACTCCTGACACAGACTCCGTAAAGGCTGCCCAGGCTTTTTTATCTCCCTGACTTATGACTCTGTAGCAGCCAAAATGGGCGAGGTTTGGTTCTGTAGCCCCATCTGAGTGATACCATATGGTTAGCTTACTAAAGCAATATTAATTAACAAACCCAACTTAGCCACTCACTGGATAAAAAAGGGAAAGAGGACGAAAGCAGAAATCGAAGCACGCGCAGGGAAGCAGGTGAAGGTGGAGTGTACATTCCTCCTGACACGGCGACTCGCTGGATTGTGAGGATAAGGAGGTCGTAATCATAATGGAAGGCCACAGATGAAACCGCGTGGTAATCCGCAGTTTATGGCCACTGTAGTGGAACCGACGGAGTTCAACGCTCCCCGAACAATTCCACTAGCAGGGCTTGCTGGCCACTCGCTGGATTAGGATAATGAAGAGAGCGCAAGCAGGGCTGGAAGCCCGCGCGGGGAAGCGAGTGTGAATTGATACCCGAAGGAACCGAGGCTGGCGTATAAGCACTCATCCCCCTGGCACAGCCACTCGCTGGATTAAAATTGTAGAAGAGATGAAAGTACGGGATATTTGTAAAGTCAGCGTAATCGCATCAAAAAATTTTTTTAGAAAACTAACTGTGTAGTATCACCCAGCTGGGGCTGCAGGACCAAACCTCGTCCTAACGTTTTAAATCGCATTCGACGGCGCAACGGTAAATCTAATCTCGAAATTCCCGATACCCGAATGGCAGCTCAAGGACCCAGGCAGCCCCAGCGGTGAGTAATCTTAAGCTGGAATGAGTAAGTAGCTTTCTGCATGAAACTTCCGGCTAATTCTACACAAAGTCACCACTTTCCACCTCTCTCTTTCTCTCTCTCTCTTTCTCTCTCTCTCTTTCTCTCT